CATTTTATAAAATTATGATTTCATTGTTTCCAACAGAGCTGCGGAGTACGCTTTACAACGCGTGCACGCTATCGACCGCCGGGGATATTAGTTTCTACCCTTTAAAGCTGCCGCTTTCAAAGGGATGCTGTCTGTGGAGATTGTTAATTGTGACTCGAACCGGTGAAACTCCAAAGGAGTAATGCCGTATTATTATTACTCGCTGATTTTATTAGTTTGCGCATCCGAGATTCTGTGAACGAGATCAAATTCAGATTCGATCGATCGAGTAATTTCGTAGAAAACCGTGGACAAAAAAATGACGGTACAGTTATAACTATGCGGATAAGCAGGATCGATATCAGGTATCGAATTCCTCTCGAATTGAACGCTATCAGCGTTAAATTTCTCCGGCTGCAAATTGTCAACATCGAGTTTCACCGGGTTTTAAATTGACCAGTGTTCGATTTCCGCGGAAATTTTTCCAAATGTCGAATCTGCGTTAAATTGAAAAGTTTGCCGAATTTTTCAACTCTCTAGAATTTCCAAATTTGGTACAAACTATCTGCCGCTTTTTCACTTCTGAATTTCTGGAATATACAGTTCTTTTTTTAAACTATCTGTCGATTTTCAACAGTCAGATTTGCAAACTCCTCATTTTTCTGAAATTATTCGATTTACAATTGTCGATTTTCTTCATTTTTTCCTGCCTTCTCGTTCTCCAAATTTTGAAATTTTCAATTTTTCTGAGGCTCCATATTCTTCTTAGTTTGCACCTCCATTTTGTTTATTTTTCTCTGCTCTCACTTTCAAGTTTGCAAATTTCCCGAAACAATCTCGATTTTCCCGAAACCCCAATTCTCCATTTTCTTGAAATCGTCTCTGACATTCCAACTAATTATTTTCTACTGTCTCAAAATTTTGTCTTTCTCAATTTTTCTGAAACCACATATTCTCCTCCTCACGTTGCCCTAAATTTTAAAAAAAATTTTTCTCCGCTCCCACTTTCAAGTGTCCAATTCCCCCCAAACCATCTCTCACCCTCCACCTCTCAAATTTCCAAATTCCCAATTCCCCTTGAAGCACCTCTC